TTTAATGAGGTAAAGTCCAGAGGGAGAAAAACAAAAAAAAAGAATAAAAATGTCATTGCCCGATTTAAAGTTATAGTTGTTCCATCTTTCAATAAAGAAAATCAATTTCTTCCATAAAGAGGAAAGCTATGTTGTTGGACTTCAAATTGTAAGTGTTGGATGTCATTATTTTTGTCATGATATAGTGAAATAATTAATTTCCAGGAATTATAAAAATCCATAAGAACATTTTTTTAGCCGAATTTTAAAGAGGGTGTCTTGATTGAGAGTGATTTTTTTTTTAACTTCACAGTTTTTCCCTCAAATAGGGCTTTGTTTACCATTAAACAAGAGGTTGTTGTCTTTGCATTTTATTTATTTATTTATTTTCGTATTTTTTTTTTATCCTCACCCGAGGACATTTTTCCATTTTTTGTTCAGGTAGAGTGGGAGGGAGAGAGAGAGAAACATCGACATGAAAAGGACACATCGAGTGGCTGCCACCTGCACGACCAACCAGGGCCGGGGACAAACTACAACTGAGGTACGAGACACGTGCCCTTAGCGGGAACCAAACCCCGGTCTCTCAGGACCGCAGGCCAACGCTCTAACCGCTGAGCCAAACCGGCCAGAGCTGTCTTTGCATTTTAAATGGCTCAAAGATTTTCCTGATGGAGGCCACTAAGAAAGAGATGAGCGTCAGTAGTAGGCATGGTTTCTGCCATCGCTTTCAGACTTTTCTCAGTGTCTCCACAGAGCCTTTTTTGATCAGAGAAAGGCAGAGATTGTGAAAGTCATCCTTCTCACTACAAAACAATAGATGTGACAGTGGGCCCTCATCTTTTGTGACCACGAAGGACCAGCAACATTCAGGTCTGACCTGAAAGTCTGACTCCCGAAAGCTGATACAGGGTCTTCTTCCCTGTTGCAGCTCTTCTCCCTGCGGAAGGGCAGAGTAGAAAATTGTAATCTCTCAGTTACGATTAGCTTTCTGACTGTCTCTGTGCTGAACTAGAAGAGAATTGTTATAATTTTCAGTTTGTGTTTCCCTGTCCCCTGTGATAACTTGGGTCAAAGGTTGAACCACAGGCCTCCCAGTGGTATGAAGAGCAATAATACAATTTCGTGGTTGAGCCAAAAACAATAGTAACCACAAAACAGAGTCTGGCCTCTGCAGAGCTCATTTTCATTGGCCAGACTTCTGTCCCTTCAGTGGCCTGGGCACTGGTTCATCTGGATCCATCTGATGGCTATACTTCTGTGATACTAATATTTGCATTTTTGGAAATAGTTTGAGATAATAAAATACTTGAAACTATCCAAATTTTTAGACATTATGGGGATAAAATAGCTAGGGTGTTGGAAGAAAATTTTACTCTGTATCTAGATATGTTACCATTGTTTAATACATAGCCCTGGTTTTAAAAATACTAATACTGATTTTAATTCTGAACATTATTTAAAAAAAAAAAGATCAGCCTCTTGAAAACACTACAGACTCCAGAATCAGACCATGTGGGTTCAAATGTGGGTTTTATTACTTAAATGGGTGACGAAGGACAAATGTATTAGTTGTCGAATGATGAATAACAAATTCAAAACTTAAAAGCTTGAATCATAAACATATATGACTTCACACTGAGTCTGCGGTTCAGGAAGTCAGGAGCCACTCACTCAGGGTCTCTCATGGGGGTGCAGTCAAGATATGGACAGGGGCTGAAGTTATCTGGAGATTTGCCTGGAGGATCTTTTTCATTCACATACCAGGCAAACTAGTGTCCTCTGTTTCCAGGTCTCAGCCCCTTGTCATGTGGCCCCTCCATGCGTGAGTGTCCTCCAGGCATGGCAGCTTGCCTCCCCAGCATGAGTGACCCAGGAGAGACCAAGGAGGAAGCTTAACGCCTTTGATGAATTTAGATGTCACACATCATCACTTTCACCACGTTCTCTTCGTTAAAAGCAAATCATTAAGTTCAACCCACATTCAAAGGGAGGGAAATGAGACTTCAAGTTTTGAAGGGAGGAGTTTTACTTTTTTTTTCCTGCCCTGATACATCTAAGGACAATCAGTATGATTAGTTAGAATATTGTCTGGATAATTTATACCTTGCTGGGTCTGGCAGAGTCCTTATAACTGGCTGGACCCATTTTTTTCTTATTATCCAAGGGCAATTGGCAGTTCTTTCAAAGCATCTTGAGTTCATCGCTGGTCCAGACCTGTGGTACTCTGAGTCTTCTGCATTTCAGTAAAGAGCTCCACTTTTCGCATGATATACTTCCTTTGAGTTTTCTGATTCCTCTCAGCCAAGCCATCAACAAGTCCTGGTGGCTCTATCTTCAAAATACGTCCAGTCTCTGAATCATTCTCCTCCGCCTCAGGGCACCACAGGGTTCAGCCCACCACAAGCTCTCAGCAAAGCTTCCTTTCTTGACACATATCAAATTATACATTGAGCAGGCAGAATGGTCTCTTTAAAAACATCAATAAGATCTATTTTCCTTTTTTAAAAAACAACTTTCAATGAATTTCCTCAAAAAAAAAAAAAAATCAAACACTTTGCTCTATAACTTCATCTTCTGGATGTCTCCTCTGCAGCCTTGGTAGACTTCCTGCCCCTTCAGCTCACCCAGCTTATTTTGACCTCGGGGCCATTGCACCAGCTCTTTCCTCTGCCTAGAATGCTCTTTGTATAGCTTACTCTCTTATTTTAGTCAGGTCATATTCAAATGTTGCTCTTCAGAGAGACCTTGCTGAGAGGCCTATCAAGAAGCACCTCATATCCTACCATACTCCCTTGATATGATGACACCCCCGTGTGACACCATGTTAAATATCTGCCTCCCAAACTAGACTGTAGGCTCCATGAGAACAGGGAATTTGCCTTGTTTGTTGGTATGATGTGCACCCTGTACTCAGAATGGTGCCTGGCACATAGTTATTAGTCAATCAATTAATCCAGAAATCACAACATAGAGGCTAGTCTGACCTACAGGTATGTTTGGTTAAATCAAAGTTATCTGACAGTGTTTTTAAAGCTATAATTTAGTTTATGAGTTTGTGGAATTTAGTTTATAAGTTGTGGAATTCCATATAAAAATTCCTACTTTGGGCTAAAAATTAAGAAATTTGTCGTATTTGGAGTCCCTTGGCAAAAATCATGTCATGTTTATTAGTAGCTGCTCCTTTTCAAGAGGATTTACTACAGACCTCACCACGCCTATTATATTCCTGACCCCAGTGACCTTCTTACCCCCATGCCCTTCACTCTTCTGTATCACCTGCCTGGCCCTGCAGGCTTTCAGGACCCTAAAATAAGCATAATTATGGTAAGTTTGCCAATATTTGTCCTACATATCAGTGTAATTTTTCATTAAAACTTATCAATGAAATTGGTGTCCCGTTGGATTTCCTACTCATATTCATCCTGAGACGCACATTTCAGCTTTGGTGCCATTCTAGTTACAGAGCAATCACCCAGCTTGACACACTTCACAAAGAACTTTCACTAATGAAAGAAAGAAAAAACTCAATTGTGTTTCAAAATAGTTTTGTTTTGTTTTGGATTTTTTTTTTTTTTTTACTTTTGGAAGGTTATTTTTTTAACATTTAAAAAAATAGATTTCAAATGCTTTTCTTTATTTTCAAAACCTCATGAACATTTGATCCAGATGTTTACGTAAAGTGATTCATTTACCAGTGTGGGGCACACCCAGTTGTTCTAAGAAAGAAAATAACTGCGTTTAACAATAGATGGTTACATAGTCTGAAGTCAGAGCAAGTAAAATATATATAAAATATGTATATAAAATAAGAACTATGCCTTTTTGCTTACTGTGTAACCAGTGCTTACATATAATTAGGGACTTGAATATGTATTAAGCATCTGTTATGTGTCAGGAACTGTATTAGGCAGTTGCAGAATGCATATTCTATCAAATATTCTAGAAGTGTCAGACAGCAGCAACTGAACAAAACAAGTACTTGTTATAATATAAGCAAAAAGAGTTGGAAAGTGAAGTAGGGTAAGGTAGATGGAGAGGTCTGACAGGCTACTGTTTTTTTTTGTTTGTTTTGTTTTGTTTTTTATCCTCACCCGAGGACATTTTTCAATATTTTGTTCAGATAGAGTGGGAGGGAGGGAGGGAGAGAGAGAGAGAGAGAGACAGAGAGAGACAGAGAGAGAGAGAGAGAAACATCGATGTGAAAGGGACACATCGAGTGGTTACCACCCACACGACCCAACCAGGGCCGGGGACAAACTGCAACCGAGGTACATGCCCTTAGCAGGAACCGAACCCGGGTCTCTCCAGACCGCAGGCCGACGCTCCAACCGCTGAGCCAAACCGGCCAGGGCAGGCTACTGTTCTTAATAGTGTGGTCAGTGTAGGTCATTTTGAAAAGATTAGATCTGAGCAAGACCGAAGGAGCCAAGGGAGTTTGCCTAGTGGATCTGTGGGGAAAGAGCCTTTCAGGATAAAGAAAGATCTAGAGTAAAGCCCGCAGGCAGGATGTGCCCAGTAAGTTCAGGGAGCAGCAGCGTGCCTGTTCAGGCTGAGTTACTGTGCAGTCAAGTAAGCTGACTAGGGTCAAGAATAAGTTCTCCTTAGGAGTGCTGTATTCTTCCTAGGTAAGGAACATCTTTCACCTATTTTTAATTAAGCTGTATTTTGATTTGACCATGAGCTGAGCATTAGAGACTCCATAACAGTGTAAGAGACATTCTCAGCACCATAGTTTCCATTTTATAAGGGGAGCTGGCCCTGGATGGCCCCACCGTGGCGATCCTGACCCTGAACGACTATAGATACATGACAAACCCTCACGAACTGGCTGCATTGTCATTATTCCCGGCACACTCTCCTGTTCCAATATACCAGCACTGGTGTTTTTCAAAGGGGTAGTCCATGAGGAAAAGAATAGGAACTTACTCTGTATGTGAATTGCTCCCCACTATGTAATACAGTGCAGAGGGTGCCCCACGAAAATCTCCCTAATAGAGCTTCATGTCTCCTCAATGCAGCTTCTCGCCAAGGACTGGCCCTTTGGAGTGGAGATGTGTAAGCTCGTGCCTTTCATACAGAAGGCCTCGGTGGGAATCACTGTGCTGAGTCTGTGTGCTCTAAGTATTGACAGGTAAGAGCGTGTACGTACGTCAGGTGGATCCTGAACACTACTAGTAATTGCTGTGTTACTTAGAAAATAGCTATGTCATTCAGTGAAACCAGGCTCTGCCAGCTCGACAAACACTTCTATTTTGCTCTTCAGATACCGAGCCGTTGCGTCTTGGAGTCGAATTAAAGGAATCGGGGTTCCAAAATGGACAGCAGTAGAAATTGTTTTAATTTGGGTGGTCTCTGTGGTTTTGGCTATCCCCGAAGCTGTGGGTTTTGATATGATTACCACTGACTACAATGGAAGTTATCTGCGAATCTGCTTGCTTCATCCCACTCAGAAAACAGCCTTCATGCAGGTAAATTTTGTTTTTTTTCCCCCCTTTCTGTTCTTACCTTATAATATTTGGCTATTTTCACCCTGCTCTTTCCTTCTTGGAAGTTATTGATTTATGACTGTCCTGGGCACAAGCCAAGAGTAGGGGTCCCAGGACTGCAGGGTTAACAGTGACTAATGACCCAAGCTGCAAGAAGCTGGGTCCCTACTTCTCCAAGAATCCCTTGGCACTCAGGGATACAGATAAACCACCTTCACGTGAGAAAATTGATCTGAATTTATAGCTTGTCTATTCAAATCCTCACAAGGACTGGCAACTACTACATTTTCTGCATAAGACAACACAGCAGTCATCAGAGGGAGCAGACAGTGCAGTGTCTGATCAGGTAGAAGTCACCCTGGTACGGATGGATGCTGAACGGCAAGCCTGTCCCCTCTCTAAAGGGAAAGATGCCATGGCAAAGAACTTTCACCTTTCCACTTACTCAGGAACATTCAATCAGGAAAAGGATGGCAATGCTGGTCAGCAGAAGACAGACCCTAAGGGTAAAACACTCTCTCCAACAGAGTGGGTGAAAAGGAGTTAATGCCAAGGGGGCTTTCTAAGGGTCACCAGTGATTAGTTTACATTTCACATGTAAGAAGACTGTATACGACTTTGTGAATTGTATATAGTATGATCATCAAAAGAATAAAGAGGGACATTAATGTGAAATTGATAATGAAATTGCTATGTTCTTGTTTCTCATTAGTTAAAAGAGAAAAAGTGCTACACAGATTATGTAAGTTCTGCTCCCACACAGATGTATCTGGAGCAATAATAAAAATAAAACAAAAACAAACGAACAAACAAACAAACAAAACAGAAAAAGAATAAGAGAAAAGGTAGCTTTGATTTTTTTAAACAATTGATTGGGCCCGGCTCAGTGGTTGAGCATCAATCCATGCACCAAGAGGCCGCCCAGTCAAGGCACATGCCCAGGTTGTGGGCCAAATCCTCATCAATATTTCTATCTTTCTCTCCCTCTCCCTTTCTCTCTTTCTAAAATCAATGAAGGAAAAAATTTTAAAAAGAATTGATTGCTTAGATTTATACATTATTGAGCTAAATAATTAACATAGACCTTTTTTGTTATCTGTTTTTCCCATAAAATAATTGTATGAAAAAGGGAAAAATTTTCCTTAAACACTACAGTGTCTTTACATACTCAGACATGGTATTTCATACAAACAATAACTTAAGGATAACTAGTTAATGTGAAGACAACAATATCTGAGTTATCAAATATTTTACATTTTGTCTAACTGATTAAATTTTAAAACATATTTAGCCCATTGCTTTTGGTGACTGAAATGCCTTTTAGGAAAAGCTTGTTGTATACAATATAAGTATTTAATTATTTTTTCAGGTGTGACCTGAGAGTGTCTATATAGTGTTTATAAAATGGTTCTACTTTAGAAAATAATTATTCTGTGATGATTTTTTAAATTTAACATTTGTTATATGAATGTTTCTTACAGAGGAATATTAATCATAAAATTCTCTCTTCCCACAGACTCATAGGTAGAGAGCAGACAGACAGCTGAGTGGGGTTGAGGGATTGAGCAAAAAAGAAAAAACTCATGGACGCAGACAACAGTGTGCTGACTGTGGGGGGGAATGAGGGAGGTGGAAGAAGGTTTAGGGGGACAAATGGTGATGGAAAAAAGAAAAAAGAAAATTCTCTCTTCCCCATAGTTTTATAAGACAGCTAAAGATTGGTGGCTCTTTAGTTTCTACTTCTGCTTACCATTGGCCATCACCGCATTTTTCTACACCCTGATGACCTGTGAAATGTTGAGAAAGAAGAGTGGAATGCAAATTGCTTTAAATGATCACTTAAAGCAGGTAAGAAAGTAGAAATATTTCTAACTCATGATTACAATTATGATTATGAATAACAAAAGTATTATGATGATAAATTAAAAGTATTATGTACTACAGCATATCTCCTTTTTCTTGTTCTGGTATTTTTTATATTTTTATCTAGACATACTCTATGTAATTTAAAGAATCTAGAAAGAGCAATTACTTTAAATATGAATCTCTAATCATTTCAGTTTTCATTCGCATTAATTATTCAATTTAAAGCTCCATGTCCTGAATTTTTGCAAATGCCACTGACTTTTTGTAAACAACATTAAATATTCTCTTTGGGAAAGGAGAACACTGTAATTATAATGAGCCATATTTTCAGGGTCTGACTACTGTTTTATTTCAGAGACGCGAAGTAGCCAAAACAGTATTTTGCCTGGTCCTTGTCTTTGCCCTGTGTTGGCTTCCCCTTCACCTCAGCAGGATTTTGAAGCTCACTCTTTATGATCAGAATGATCCCAATAGATGTGAACTTCTGAGGTAAGAAAAATAAAATAGAGATAGTTTTGTAAATAAATGCCACGCAGTAGTTTTCCACTGATACCTTTCATAAGCAGATCTTTAGGGAGCAATTAAGATCCCCATGTTCTACCTTCACTTCTGTTTTAAAGGGAAGAGTAAAGGGAACTTAGGAGAACACTGGGGATGGAGAGCCAGGGTAGTCCTTATAAGTGAGTGGCATGCTTGAAAAAATCAGGTCTGATTCTCCTTGCCACACGGTAAAACTTTCTTCCCAGCCAGTCACAGCACTTCTAAATATGTTTTAAAGGAGAGAATTGGGCTTAGTGTGGGGAGGATGTGGGGGATGACAGAGACAGAAGGGGGAGAGAGAGAGAGAGAGAGAGAGAGAGAGAATTATCAGCAAAGACTAGTAATAAAGTCAAAGCCATTGTGTATATGGGTAATATTTTTCTTCACAAAAACACAAAAGTCTATAAAGAATATGTACTCAGTCCTGGCCAATTTGCCTCAGCAATAGAGCGTCGGCCCATGGACCAATGAGTTGCGGGTTCGATTCCAGCCAAGGCCACATACCTCAGTCCCTGGCCCTGATTGGGGTCATGCGGGAGGCAACCAGCCAATGTGTCCCTCTCATGTCAATGTTTCTCTCTCTCTCTCCTCCCCTCACCTCCCCCATGTTCCATCCTATCTGAAGAGAAAGAGAAAAATATCCTTGGGTGAGGATTAAAAAAACAGTTTAAAAAAAAAAAAACAAGAAAATGTACTCAGAGCAGCATATCTTTCTCAGACACGTTTTGGGTTCTTTTTGCAGCTTTCTGTTGGTATTGGACTACATCGGCATCAACATGGCCTCCCTGAATTCCTGCATTAATCCAATAGCTCTGTATTTGGTGAGCAAGAGGTTCAAAAACTGCTTTAAGGTAAGAGAATATTCCAAAATAAAGAGGTCTTCTCAATCTGGCATCAAATATACCCCTTCTGGATAATATTTCTATCCAGAGAGCTCTAATAAATTTCCAGTTTTCCCTTGCATTACACCATGGATGATTTTTTAAAATATGACTTTTGCTCACAAATCACTATAGTTATCTTTTTCTTATAAATCCTAGTCAACCACTCCAATTGGTTACACTCATAGAATTGCTTTAAAAATTAATAAATATAACATATACTGACTTCTGATAGACATCAAATGATGCATAAGGGCTAAAAATGAATTAAATGCACTGACCCCATTTTGGGTAGATTTTGGACTATGCAGCACAATTTGGAGTGTAACTACATTTAGTCTCTTTTCACATGAACATGAGAATAGCCAATCAAATTAATATCTGAATTCAGGTTTCATTTCCTCTTTTCCACCTTCTTAGCAGAGATATGCTATTGATGTGAAATACATTTGTTATTCCTCATTCGGCAGCTTGCATTGTAACATTCAGACATCCATCCATTCACTCCTTCAACAATCTAACAGAAAAAAATATTTCCTCCCTTTCTGTGGGAATGATTCATTTGTGCTTGTAGTTCATCATTGGAAAGCCAAGAACTTAGCTTTCTTGACTCTAAGGCAGTGTATAAAATTCTTTGCCCACTCATAAACTCGTAGATTTTAGAGCTAGAAGAGAATATTCATTAAGATTGACACCCTCATTTTACAGAACAGAAAACAGTGGGCCCCCCATTTTCTTATACATATAGATTCTCAGAAAACAAACAGACTGTATCAAGTTTTGAATTTTTAAAATTCCAAGAAAAAACTGGATAAATAAAAGAGACACTTATACATTTAACAACCTTATTGTGTAACAGTGTTTTATAGGCACACGAGAACAGCATGTGGCTGAGAAACTGGCAATGTAATATTGAATTCATTGGTATGGGAAGATGTCCAGGACACGGTAGAGTGGGACAAAGCAGGCTATGAAGTAGTACATTTAGTACAATTTTACCAAAACTAAGTATCCAAGCACCTCCATACACATACTACTGTACAGTCATGTGTCTAGGTGTAGGGTGATATTTCTACTTGCACAGAAAGAAGTCTTGATTAACATAGTTATCAAATATCAAGAGTATCTCTCAAGTAGTCAAGATTAAATATCAAGAATTAAGAGTGGCTTTCTCTTTTAATTTTAATTAAAAGGTGAGGAATTTTCATTGCATACATATTTCTTTTTCTGTATCTTCTAGTTTAAAAATAATTGTCACATGCCACTTATGTAATTTTATGTTTGTAAGGGGAAAAACAAGAGCGCATGGAAAGGAAGCAGCCCAGGAATTCCCAGTCCTGCAGAGAAAGACCCTAGCGGGGAGGAGGGGTCGTGATGACATAACCGACGTAAATTTGTAATGAGTGGCTTTGTTTTTGCAGTCATGCTTATGCTGCTGGTGCCAGTCATTTGAAGAAAAACAGTCTCTGGAGGAAAAGCAGTCGTGCTTGAAGTTCAAAGCTAATGATCATGGATATGACAACTTCCGTTCCAGTAATAAATACAGCTCATCTTGAAAGAAGGAATATTCACTTAATTTCATGTTCCTTGTGTTGGACAGAAGTCATTAAAACAATGAGGCATGTGCCAAGACAAAACAAACCATATGTTTGCACAAAGCAGTGTAAAAATTTCAGAGTGATTATTTTCTTAACTCTAAGCTACACGTGACATTTTATAAGCTGTTTACAGAATGGAAAGAAAAGCAGTGTGAATTAAGAAAGCTTCCTTGTGAAAGCACTTAATTTTTTTACAGTCAGCACTTCGATGTAGCCCTTAGTAACTTCCAGTATATTCATACCTTACTTACATTTAAATTGAGCTCACTCTGAATTTCTATTAAAGAGATGTATTTTTAAATTAATGTGAATCTGATAGAAAGGAAAAATGTGTCACTGTAGAACAGAAACTTTTAAATGAAGTTGAAATTACTTCATTTAAAATGTTTTAAAATCCTATTAAAAACCTCTTTTATTAATAGTGTCACACAATTGGGTAGACTGTTATTGGATACAAAAATGTATAAGCAGTTCAGGTGTTTTTTGTTTTTGTTTTTTACATTAGAAACATATAAATGATCAGAAGGGAATATCAGAAAGAAAGATAGAAGTTTTTAAAAATCATTTAACTTTTTACACTCAGATCAAGTGTCACAAAAAAGAAAGAGAGAAAATTGGGACTGCTGTCCCAAAAGACTACTTTAAAATCTCTCATTTAAGTACTCTACAAAGAAAATGCTACCTACAATTTTTTCAGGATTATTAACACATTTTTCCTTTACTATCATTATTGTAGTTTAAACGCTACTTGTTTAGTTTTTTCTCATCTGTAAATACTTCGCTGCAATACACAATGTGTAGATGATTAAACTAAGGGCAGGTCCCAGGGTTCCTACCTTTCCAGTGGAGGGATGCTAGTAACCCCACAATGGACAGAATGTGAGTTGCCTGGAGCAGTGTTCACATGGCAAAAAAAAAAAAAGGCAGCATCCTCATCAGTCCTGCTGGAGTTAGAATGGTCTCTGGCATGCGTATAATAGGATAGTTAACATGCTATTTTTTAAGATCATACAAATTAGGCAATTTAACAGCCACATATAAAGCTTACTACTAATTTTTATATTATTTTTGTAAGTAACCAGTAGAAAAAAGTTCTTGACATGATGCTTTTCTGTCACTTACAGGCAAAACTGTTTTGTGTTTGTGGGGTTTTTTTTGAGATGATAAGAAGCTCTTCCTTTGTGCATTCTTGCCTGGTCCTTTCTTCTCCCTAGCGAAAATGCCTTGCTTTGACTCGGGGTGAGCTGTGTGTGAAAGTACAAGAGAAAACGAAAGAGAGAGGAAATGAGGTGGGGGTGGGAGGTAACCCGTGGGGATAGAGTCCCATTCTTAGCCCAATGTTCGTCACTGCCCCGTCACAAGGATGCAAAAGGTCCTGATTCAGTTCCAGCTCAACACAGTGCAATGTTCTCAGTGACTTTAGGAGCTTCAAATTGGACCCTAGAGCTTTAACTCACTCTTAAAATATAGCAGAGTTTCCACATTTCTTTATTTTAGTAACCCAGGGCCCCATGTGGGAAATAAGCTACAATGTTGTTTTCTGCTGGCATCTAATTGATGATAAGCAAACCTAAACCCAACAATATGGCCAGGCAGAAAGGACAATAATTAATTCACATGCCACCTGGATTTTATTTACAAACCCCTGCCAGTCTTGTTTATTCATTTCTTCCCAATCACTGTTTCAGTTGCCCGTCATCACAAAAGACATTTCAAACTTTGGATTTTAAGCAAAATCTAAAATATATATATATATTAGACTAGTATTTTCACAGTTTGTTAATATATTTTTATTTCTATTTAAGTTTTAGCTCATTTTTATTCTCAGCTTTGGTTTTTCTCATTTACATCCTTGATATTCTCCTTTTCTCCATGGGAGATTCGTGGTCTGTCATCATCTTGCCAGATTTTGAAACTGCACACAGAATACCACGATATTGTGTTCAGCAGCTTTTCTAAAAATGTTAGGTTCAAAATTTGAACATGATTTTTTGACATAAATAAAATCGAAATAGGAAAAGTTACCACTGTTTAATTTTAAATCATATTTCCTAGTATTAACAACTATACAATATAGCAATAGACAAAAATAATGCTAACATGGACATTACAATATAAAATATTTAAAAACAATTTTAGTCTATTTTCTCTTTTATACATTGCTAATGGCGCATGTTCAAACACCGTTTAGTATTGACAGCTTACATATGTCCAGAGGAATATACTTTGTAGTAAAACATGTATATGCTGTGGCTAACTTTATAAACTTGTAATGATCATGTAAAATAATTATATATTTTGTTTTTCTGTGGTCACTGAAAGTGGCAACTACTATAGTCATGGATTCCTTATTATGAAAACAAAATTAATAAAAATTTTAATTGTTTTTAAAAAAGACCAGCTTGTGTTTCATTGTACAGGCAATAGTTTATTGAATGTTAGTTGAATAAGTGTTTAAAGAAAATAAAAATATTACAAGTAGATAATATTTATCTTAACCATCCAAATATCAAGGAAATATGAAAGGCTTTCAATTAAAATGCCACACTTCTGGTCTCTAGGCCATGTTGTTGTTGTATTTTATTATTGTGAAGAACTAGATATACATACAGACCTTCAGTTTTCCATGGTTTATTACCTGGTTGATAGTTTCCAGTGGCCTTTTATGTCTGTCTTTCTCTGGTGGTTTGCTTTTGGAGCACTTCACTGGTTAATCAGTATTGTACCTCAGGTCAAAGGTGAAAGGTTGAAATGAAATTTTGGGGTTACTAATTTTATTTCACAAGCTTCTTTTGAGTCTTCACTATGTTAAAGGCAGTATGAAATTAATAAAATGCAAGGTTTTTACTTATAGGAGACAAATAATATCAAAAGCTATTACAAAGCAAAATGAAATGAGAAATAATAACGACATACTGACTACTCTCGAAGTTCACATGTCTATATCTCTTAGTACATGAACCCTTTCTTCATCTGCCAAATGTAACCAAGTATTAGTATTTACTCTTTTCCCATGTAATTGTGTTAAACCCAGTTCCAAAAGTTTCTGTGATTTATCCCTGACCTTTGCTGGATTTCAGCTGCCTAATCTCAGCCAGACATTTGGAGCTGTAAGTGTTCTGAATTCCAGAGGCTATTTGAAAAGTACAGAAAAGGAAAACATATAGGTAGTATGTTCTTTAAGTAATCACCAGAAAGAGTCCACATTCTTTTCAACAGTTATTTGTCAAGAACAGTAGTAATAATAAAATCCCCACAATTTATTATAATAAGGTAGGCAAGATAAATTCAACTTAGATTCTTGGAAGAAAATCAAGAAATGTGGCAGCCCTGAGATGGAAATGTCTCAAAATCCTATCTGTGCAGAGGCTAAGCTTTCGAAGAGCAGTGACACTGGACTTCTTGTTCTCACTCACTAGTCAGCCTCGTAAGGGACAACATTAAATAATCAACAAATCAAATAAATCTACCCAAATTGGAAAATTCCACTTTCAAGATTCAAGTCTCACTTGAGCACTGGGAATGATTCCATCATATTAGGAAGAGAGTATTTTGAATGAAAAAAAGCACCCTAAGTAAAAAACATGATATTCTTGATTGTTTTGGCAATATGGTTGACCTCAAACGAGTCAGTTAACACCTCATGGCCTCAATTTAATTATCTATAAAATATAAACATTGATCCCTGGCCCGTTTGGCTCAGCAGTTAGAGCATCAGCCTGAAGACCAAAGAGTCGCAGGTTCGATTCCAGTCAAGGGCACGTACCTCCATTGCAGTTCGGTCCCCAGCCCTGGTCAGGGTCATGTGGAAGGCAGCCAATCAATATGTCTCTCACATCTCTCTCTCTCTCTCTCTCTCTTTCTCTCTCTCTCTCTATCTTCCCCCACACACTCTATCTGAAAATAAATGGAATATATCTATCTATCTATATCTATATCTATATATATATTCATTGATATCCACAGCCTAAGTCTTATATTAAGTCAACAAATTTTGAGTGGAATTACTATATAACTTTAGTGTACTCTCTAACATATAGGCATATAAAAATGCAGAAGTAATAGTCCCTGCCCTCCAGAAATTCACAATCTAATAAGAGAGATGGACAAATAAATAAAAACAGTTAATATGCTATAGACACTGGAATATCAATACGTACATGGTAAAAATGGGGGAGTTTAGGGGAACTCATCAGAAGAATAGATACTTGAGTTGAGCCTTAAAGGAAGTTTGCTAAACAGATAAAAAGTTAATGGCATTGCTGGCAAAATGACTACCTTGTGGGAAAACTGAAAGGGATGACACAGCATGGCCAGTTCAGGAAAAAAGTTGAATTCCAGCATGCTTGGGGAGGGGGTGCGAGAGATGGGCCTGGAGAGACAGGCAAGTCAGGGAGGGCCTTGTGTTCCATGCAGTGGGTCTGCCCTTTCCCACGGCCCCTGTATCTCAAATGTCTGAGGACTGCTTGCCACAAACTCATCTAGGATGTCTGTTTAGAATGCAGATTCCTGGCCTATAGTTCTGATTTATATCATCAGACCCTCTGGGGTGGGGCCCAGAAATATGTAAGTTCACCAAGACTTCAAGGGGCTCTTATGCACCTAAAACTCGGAAGCCCTGCAGTGTAGATTATCTTCAAAGCACTGAGCATTATAAGCAAGGAATAATAGGATACATTCTTTTTTATAAAACTGCTTTGGAAGCGCCATGGGGCAGGAATTAGAGGGCTACAACACAAAAAGCAGAGTGCATAAACAGTGACTGCAATTGACAGATAAAAGAGATAAGTGTCTTGAGGAACTGTGTGGAGATGGAGGAACAGGTCAGGTCACAGGGAAAGATAATCATCTTAAAGTATTGACCAGATAAAGGTAAAGCTCAATTAAGAGGCTTCTGGCTGGAATGACCATTCACCGAGAACAGGGATCAGCCAATTTGTGGCCTGGTTTTGTAAGTAAAGTTT